CCCCCCGGCCGCTGGAGAAGACCCCCCCTACGTGTCCTGAGTGTGACAAGAGCTTCAAGCGCCAGACAGCATTGGAAGTCCATGTGCGGAGTCACACGGGTGAGCGGCCCTTCGTCTGCACTGACTGCGGGAAGCGCTTTGGCCACAAGCATCACCTGCTGAGACACCGGCACGTGCACACTGGTGAGAAGCCCTTCACCTGCAGCCACTGCGGCCACCGTTTCAGTGAGAAGCGCTATCTGGTCATCCACCAGCGCATCCACACTGGGGAGCGACCCTTCGCCTGCAGCCACTGCCCCAAGGCCTTCAGGGACAACAGTACCCTCACTGCCCACCAGCACGTCCACACTGGGGAGCGACCCTTCGCCTGCCAGCAGTGCCCCAAGGCCTTCAGGGACAAGAGGACCCTCACAGCTCACCAGCGTGTCCACACCAGTGAGCGCCCCTTCGCCTGCACCCACTGCCCCAAGACCTTCAGGGACAGCAGTAGACTCAGTGCCCACCAGCGCATCCACACCGGGGAGCGACCCTTCACCTGTGCGCAGTGTCCCAAGACCTTCAGGGACAAGAAGACCCTCACCATCCACCAGCGTGTCCACATCAGTGAGCGCCCGTTTGCCTGCGCCCACTGCCCCAAGGCCTTCAGGGATGAGAAGACCCTCACTGCCCACCAGCTTATGCACACCGAGGAGCGACCCTTCATGTGCACCCACTGCCCCAAGGCCTTCAGGGATGAGAAGACCCTCACCATCCACCAGCAGGTCCACACCAGTGAGCACCCTTTCACCTGCACCCAGTGCCCCAAGGCCTTCGGGGAAAGCAGTACCCTCGCTATTAACCATGGCATGCACACTGAGGAGCTCTGCTTTGCCTGTGCCTACTGCCCTAAGACCTTCAGGGACAGCAGTAGCCTCACTGCCCACCAGGACATCCACACCAGGGAGCGCCCCTTTGCCTGCCAGCAGTGCCCCAAGGCCTTCAGGGACAAGAAGAACCTCACTGCCCACCTGCGCATCCATACTGGGGAGCGCCCCTTTGCCTGCCAGCAGTGCCCCAAAGCTTTCAGGGACAAGAAGACCCTCATAGCCCACCAGCGCATCCACACCGGGGAGCGACCCTTTGCTTGCGTCCACTGCCCCAAGGCCTTCATGTACAAGAAGACCCTTATAGCCCACCAGCGCATCCACACTGGGGAGCGCCCCTTCGCCTGTGCCCACTGTCCCAAGGCCTTCAGGGACAGCAGTACCCTCACCATCCACCAGCGCATCCATACCGGGGAGCGCCCCTTTGCCTGCTCCCAGTGTCCCAAGGCCTTCAGGGACAAGAAGACCCTCATGGCCCACCAGCGCATCCACACCGGGGAGCGACCCTTCTCCTGCCCACAGTGCCCCAAGGCCTTCATGTACAAAAAGACCTTCGCTGCCCACCAGCACATCCACACTGGGGAGCGCCCCTTTGCCTGCCCACAGTGCCCCAAGGCCTTCAGGGACAGCAGTACCCTCACTGTCCACCAGCGCATCCACACTGGTGAGAAGCCCTTCAAGTGTGGTGAGTGCGGCAAGACCTGCAGCCAGAAACAGAACTTGATGAGCCACCAGCGGTTGCACCAGAGCTCATCAGCAGTGCCAGAGAGCAGCCAGTGCGAGACAGGGGGTCCATCCCTGGTTGAGAAGCAGGCAGAGGACAAACCCTTCCAGTGCGGCTACTGTGAGAAGCGGTTTCGGGATGAGGGGATCATGCTGGCTCACCAGCGCACCCACAGCACCCCCAGCCTGTGGCCACCTCTGCAGCCTGGCACCACCTGAAACTGCTGTTGAGGGGCTGCGGGGTGCTGGGACCTGTGAGGAGATGTCCTGGTTTCAGCTGGGATAGAGTTAATTTTCCTCGTGGTAGTGGGTATAGTGCTGTGGTTTGGATTTGGGATGATAACAGACTGCTGTTTTGGTTGTTGCTCAGCAGTGTTTACCAGGTCAAGGACTTTTCAGCTTCTCTCACTGCCCCTCCAGCGAGGAGGCTGAGGGTGCACCAGAGGATGGGAGGGGACACGGCCAGGACAGCTGACCCAGACTAGCTCTATACCATATGATGTCATGCTCAGTATATAAACTGGGGGGGAGCTGGCTGGGGGCGTGATTTCTGCTCAAGGATGTGCTGGGCATTGGACAACAGGTGGTGAGGAATTGCATTATGCATCGTGCTTTGTGTATTCTTTTATCATTATTATTATTA